CATAGAAATGCTTTGGATGGTGATTTTTATGGAGGGATTTACGCCACCCGTGCAACTACTCATCTTGGCGTACCTATTGGAAATAATGATCATGAGTTGCCTGTTAGTTTTCTAGACTATGAGGCCATTCTAAGTCACAAGTTTCTTGCAAGAGGGGATCTAGCATATCGGTACAAGCTAACCTTTGATAAGTGTAATGTTATTCATATTAATTTGTCTCCTCCTTCTCTATTCAACTTTTAGGACAAACGGAGATATTATTTTCATTTGGAGGAGCCCCAGGCATACAGGGCTGCAGAAGAGGCGGCTCATCGAAGTGAAGCCACTCACCACGGAGTTGTTGTAACTCTTGAAGATCACCTGGATTATCGTTATGAGTTTGCATCTGGACCTGGGGGATTCTTTCAGCGGCCATAGACCAAGTTAGGTCAAAAGCCCAAGCTTGGGGAAGTACGTGTTCTCACTCATATTTCATTCAAGTTATCACATATTCATTTCACTTGTTAGTGTTCTTTATTTTCTTTGTTTATTTGTGTTCGCTTTATTGGTTTCTCCTGTGTGTTTGAAAAACTTCAAAAATAGAAAAAACATTTCTCGCTTCTTTTCGGTATTTTCTTTTAGTTTAGTTAGTTTGTAGTAGTAAAGAAAACCCAAAAAGATTTCGCATTTCTTCTTTTATTGTTTGTTGGAAGTTCTTCGGTGCAAATAGTTTATCCCGCTTTTCATTTTTCATCTTTCATTCGCTATCTTCAGGAAAAAAAACTCCAAAACTATTTCTACGTGTTTCTGTGAATTTCTTTTCTTTTCTTTTCTTTAGTCATCGTAAGGAGAAGGCTTCGTGAAATCAGAATTCATTGGAGAATTTGCTTCAAACCTTGTTGTTTAGAGAGTGTTGTTAGAGCTTTACATTGTAATGTAGTTGTTGCAAACTTTGGCTTCTGCCCCTTGTAAATCTTGTAAAAAAATCTTTTAATGAAATAACAGTAGGAGCCTCTCCTGTTGTTTTAACCATTAAAAAGGAGAAGACTTCATAAGAATTTTCAAGTGGCTCTTATATGCTTTATTGTTGGTCTAATGAAAGGCCAAATATTTCCCTGTCTTCTCCTGTGTATAAAGTGTTTGCTGATTTCAGCTTACTCGACGACACTTGCACCTTTATAATTTTCACACCATTCGGTCATGCAAGTGAAAGGCAATAATGACGCAAATTTGATGAAGTGTTCATGGTGAAGAAAAGCTGGTATGAACTAACTAACTAAACCAAAAATGTTCATGCATTTCAATAAAACGTTCCTCAAACAATAAAGTTCACGAATTTTCAAAAATTCAAAGAAATGTCAAAAATTCCTAAAACTGAAAATATTTGGAATTTTGATGAACATTTTTGGTATTTCATTGAACTTTTTTTAATTTCTATCAATTTTTTTATTTCATGAAATTAAAATTCAATGAATAATTTTTGAATTTGATGAATAATTTTTGAATTCAACAAACATTTATAATATATAGTGAATATTTTTGGAAAATTATGAACATTTTTTGAGTTTGATGAACAATTATTTGAGTTGGATGAAGAAAATTTGAATTTCCGAAAATGTTCAGTGATTTAAAAAAACCACTGATTTGAAAAGAGTGTTCCAATATTTCAGATTTTTTTTAATTTAGAAAGAAAAAACAAAAGATGAAAGAAAAAGGAAAAAGAAAAAGAAAAAGAAAAGGGAAACTAAAATTATAGAGAAAGGAAAAATAAAAAAGAAAAAGAGGAAAAAAGTAAGAAAAAAAAATAGGAACCTTCCGAAAACCAAAAACGGCACATAGGCAATGCGAAGAGGGGGTGTGCGCATCTAAAAAAGAGCAACTATTGAAAGAGCGCTCTTTCGGAAGCCTCCTCAAGGGTCACTTGAGGTGGGTTGAGGGCGCGTCACTTGACGCGCTCTCAGCCGCCGCTACATGTCGCTGAAAAAAAGGAAAACTCCTAGATTGCGACAAGTAGCGTACGTGCAGTACGACACTTATCGCAACCTAGAAAGGTACTCTTTAATTAGTGATTTTGATATTTATACGAAAAATATTGACGCGTGCGCCAAATAGGATCTGGCCTCTGGGTTGTAGGACGCGGCTATGTGTCGCCTGGTGCGAGCCCTGTAAGCTAGCCTGCAGGGCAGCCCGTATTGGGCAGGAGCTCCTATACAGCGCTACAGGCGCCCGTTAACGATCCGGCGCCTGCAGCGCTGCTAGCATGGGCAGGCCCACTAGCGTGCTGCCCCCGTTAACGAAAATAAGAATACGAAATCCAAAAAGGTTTACAGATTTAAAGAAAAAAGGTTCAACCATTTGAAAAAAAAGTTCATATATTTTCAAAAGGTCCATCAATTTTTTAAAAAAGCTCATCAATTTTAAAAAAAGTTCATTCAAATTGAAAAAAAGGTTGATCCAATTTAGAAACAGTTCATTAACTTTTTTAAAAAGTTTATTAAATCTTAAAAAAGTTCATAGAAGTTCAAAAAAAGTTCATGTATTTTTAGAAAAAGCTCATTGTACTGAAAAAGAAAGTTCATCCATTTTCAAAAAGATGTTCATCAAATTTCATAAAAGTTCATCTATATTCAAAAAAGTTCAACCTGAAACAAAACTTTAGATTTTTTTTAGAAAGATCATAGTTATTGAAAAATGTTCATAAAAGTTTCAAAAAAAGAAAATGTAAACCCGCGCCTAGATGGGCCGACCCATTTACTCACGCCACAGGCGCCAGTTAACGAAAATACACGTTAACTGTGCCTGTGGCGCCAAATAGGAAATGCCGTATTGGGCAGGCTCAGTAGCCGCGGCTCGCCTACTTAAGTCATGTTAGTTGTCTGTTTTGTATTTTCTTCTGTTTTTTATTCACTATTTTTCTTTCGTTTTTCTTAACTTTTTACTTTTTATATCAGAAATACTATATAGACATATTGAAAATACATAAAATTTTAAAATATGTTAATTTGCAACAAAAATTTATACATGTATAAGAACTTTCTTATGTATATGAAAAACGTACAATATTAGTAAAAAAAGAATTTTTTATCATGTGTACAAAAAATGTTAATCATTTGTATAATTTGTTTCTACTAGTACATTGAAAAAATGATCGTGTAATTCAGAAAAAATATATGATACATTAAATTTCTTTTTCACAAGTTTAAAAAATATGTTCGGGACGTTTTAAAAAACCATGTATGTACAATGTAAAAAAAACGCTCCATACTTCAGAAAAAACTGTTTTTAACATTAAAAAAATGTCCCAATGTGTATTTAAAAAATATTTAACATGTATTTCAAAAACAATCCAGAGCATGTTTTTGTAAAAATATATTTGAAAAATGTGAAACATTTAGAAAAGATGTTTGTATGTATACGAAAAATGTATAACATGTATGAAAGATAGGAGAGATCAAAAACCAAAATATTGACAAAATGTTAATCATGTATTGGAAAAATGTTAACGTGTCTAAACAAATGTTGCTGGTGTATACAGAAAAAATTATAACATGTATGAAAAATGTAGACATGTGTTGAAAATAAGAAAAAGGAAAACCGACTAGAAAACCAATAAAATCGACAAAGAAACAAAAGAAAAGCAAAAAAAACTAAGAAAGCGAAGAAAAACAAGAAAATAAACAAAAGAAAAACAAAGTGTAGCTAAAAAGAAAAAAAGAAGATACCAATGAGAAAATAAAGAAAACCAAAGCAAAATAAAGAAAAGGGAAAACCAAAGAAAACCCTGTTACAAAAATAAAACCACACCCGTAAAAAAATCCCGAAAGAAAACGAAAAAGAAAAAGAAAGTGATATACAGTTGTCCTGTGTGCACCATTCCCAAACCACTTGCCAGGTAACTTGCTGACAAAGCCACAAAAATAAACATGTAGAAGCGATTGTAAATTATGGATATACTGTTACAGGTACAAGATCATGCTCCATGCCATAGATGTGAAGCACGGCAATACTGAGGCACCAAAGTTTGCAGAATTTGCATTCTTTGGAGAGCAGGCGAAGCCATTGTGGGAAAAGGTCCACAATTTCTATCTGAAATTGCTGCTTTCGTGGGCAAGAAATGCACTGTCATACTCCACGTAGCAAATCGCTTGACGGCGATTACAACTATTTCCAAGTGAAAAAGGTTCAGCCTCTACGGGAGATGACGACATCAACCCTTATGTCAGTCGGTACTTCTTCGGTGCCACAGGGAGATGCCGAGTGTTCTTTCTCTGAAACTACATCAACAAACAAAGAACAGAGTGATGCACCTCCACCTACTGACTCAAGCTCAAAGAAAAACCAGTCGCCTTCTTCGACCACTCATAAGGTAAGCTTTGTTGTGTCACACATGTTGTTTTAGCTTTGAATACTACAAACTTATGCAGTCGATTTTCGGGAAACCCATGGTACAAGTACATCATTGGAAAACAAGGAGAAGGCTGCAAGTGACCTACCCAGCGAGTAAACTGCATAACCGTGCAATCAATCAACAACCGTAGTCAACAAACTTCGTAGCCAAATTTAACGAAACTTATTACGCAATTTAGACTACGGTTCAGCCAACAACGGGTTCGCCATGACGCTAGTACTACATTTTTGTGCTGGTGTAGTGCTTCCTTGGCCGGGACGACTGACAACAAACTCCTGCTGTATTCTTAGAAAAAGCCATTTGTGCATCTCTGAGCTCTGATGGAAATTACACCTGCAGCGGACAGAACTGCGAGTTTTTGCAGCAGGTTGCTGACCAAAGCTGGAAGCTCCTCCAAGCAAGCAAACGCTGCACTTTGAGCAGTGGCACATGACGAATCAAGAGGGCGAGCATGCAACGGAAATCGACAACGCGTCGATCGGCGCCAGTGATTTCAAATGCTCTTGCAAGTAAACAAATACAGTTCAGGAGAATCCATACTACTACTTATTTACATGGTTCAACTCCATCGAACAATCTCCAAACGCATGCTTCTGGAGCAACACGTCCGGCATCACTTGTTCCCAACTTCCATGAGCAGCCAGTCCTTCCTCATGTCAATTGGGAGCGCAACAAGTGATCTAAACTGGCGATCATCACGGATCAGACTGCTGTAGGCTCTCAGAAGGTCAGCACGGGCCAAGTCGGGGATCTCTCTGAGGGCCTCCAAGATTTCTGCAGGGGAAGGTGCCTTCGGCACCTGCACATGCTCAGCTGGCCTCAAAGAAGCTTGAACTGTGCCATTGATTTCTCCAAGCAGGGAGAGAACTGCATCATCTGTTCGTGGCCTCTTAGCCGTCTTACCTTCCAGCCCCAGTCGAGTGGATGGCATGTTAGGAGTGCCTTCACCGCCATTTTCAGAAGCAACCTCTGCTGCTGCCTCTTGAGAATTCCGGCCAACAGACCTCAAACCATCTCTTTTCGTGTGGTCTTCCGAGAGGTGGATTGCATCCCTGTTCTTAACAGCTTTGGCCTTGTAGCACATAGCACCTTCCCCTTGTAGAAGGAATGGATCCAACGTGCTATTAAGCTTTGAAACAAGGACCCTTTTGTTGACTATACTTTCTTCTTGTAGTCCCTCACCTCTTTTCCCAGTAAAATCATCAGACCTTTAAAGAGGAATTGTTGTTAGCCAAGCAGAGGCACAGAAAAAGAACAAATATAATACATGGAGTATTTAAGAAGTAACTTTCAACATCTTCAAAACAAAAGAAGTGGCATGTAAAGTACCAAAATTCGCCTTGATAAACATTCTAGCAAACATGACATGTATAACAAGATAAATATGCAAAAACCGATAAGTTGATAATGTGCAGGTTTGCTTCATTGCTTGTCCAGACAGTTCATTCAACTACTGTGTTTTTTAAGGGCTAGACATCCTAATTTACATTAACAAAGCGAAGATATTTATAAGAAAAAACAAACAAACCGAATGATATATAATTATACTTATAGGACAACGCAGTTTCTTAAAAACATGATATATAGTTGTATACAGCTACACGAGAATATCTGTTTCAAACGTGGAATTGCTACAATTACAACAGATAAATTATAGTAAAAGAATTTTATATCTCCCTAAGTATTTGACAGATCTATTTAAATTGGTTTTACAACAACATGAGAAAATTAGCCGAGCCAACACAAGCTCTGGCATATGCCAGAGCAAGCTTTCTGAAAGCTAGGCCTCAAGGCAGCGATCAGTCACTGATGAACACATGAAGTTGAGAAGTGATTCTAGTATATGGAGGCTATGGTCATGTCGGCATGTACAAAATGGGTGGGCAAAGGTGGGAGTGTGAGCTGAAAGAATTATACCATGATTCCAATTCCTGATGAGATGAGAATATGTTAGGCATAGCAAAGTTCAGTAGCGACCACAACTCTGCTAGGTTATTTTGAAATGGTGTCCTAGTCAAAAGGAGTCCATTATCCATTGGTAGCCGCCTTAACTTCCTCGATAATTCACATTCCAAGTTGTTCAATTGATGGCCCTGGAAAAGAAGTATGCAGTTGACATATAAATATAAAATAGTGAAAACCACAAAGGACAATGATTTAGGGTACTTGCTTCCCCGTCACCTCATCAAAAACAATGTATTTCCACCTGTACCGAGCAAGAATTTTTGCATCGGACATGGCCATCTCATATGAAGTCACTATTATCGGAAAATCAGGGCCACCAGTTTTGGGCATCAACTTTCTCCTAATCTCTGACCGAGCCAATTTATCTCCATAGTAAATCAGACATGCCATAGATGGAACAAGCCTGAAACCAAGCTTCTCTATGTAAGACATTAACTAAAAACACTGAAAGGAAACTTTAGAAACTTTACCTTGAGATCTCATCCACCCAGTTTGATAGAGCGAGAACAGGGGCAATGATCATGTATGGACCATGCAGACCATTCCCTTTGAGATGAGCAAGAAATCCAATTGTCTGGATTGTTTTCCCAAGACTCATTTGATCTGCTAGTATCCCATTTAGCCCGTTACACCAAAGCGACATTAGCCACTTCACACCCTCAATCTGGTAAGGCTTTAACTTCCCACCAGTCACCAATGGAACAAGCTCGGCCTGCTCTTTTGCCCACATTTCTTCTTCTGTGAGAGTAGCATTATAAGCAGAGCTATAATTGCTATATCCTTCAAGCACCTTCTCAAGTATAAATTCCGAATAGAGCTGGACCTGGGTCAGCAGCTCATCAAACTTGTTAAACTTTGTCACTGGATCAGAAACAAGTCTCACAGCTTCTCTCCCCTTGGCCTCCTCCTCCTCCTCCTCTACATTGAGGCGGGCCTCATATGGCTGCTCTTCCTCCACTTCCATCGATGCATCGCTATCCTCGGCCTCAAGGTCAACAGATGGATATGAACTTGCATCCGAAAGATCATCAACATTCTCCTCCTTGACAGAGTGCAACAACTGATCCTCCTCCTTCACCCCCTTGACGATGCTTAGCTGCCTCGGTGGTGAGGGAAGCATCCCCATTCTTGGCTTCCTAGATTTCTACACTCTGCGTCAAATAGTCAGTTAAACCAGACCAAAGAATCGAAATCGTTGGAGAACTTCAACGTGCAAAATGCATAATTTGCTCCAAGAAAAAGCGAAGGGCCTTCAGTTAGAGATCTGAATTTTGACTACTCCTACAACACAGAAATGCAGAAACCTTAACTAAATCTAAGGCTGTCTTTGGTTTACAGGAATTTCATAGGAATCTTGTAGGATAGGATTGTTGTAGGAAAAAAATCCTTTGAAGGCCTTTGGTTTACAGGAATTGAATTCTATTCCCGTATGGGATTTGTTCCTTTCCTTCAGATTTCACAGGATCAGAAACATTAGGTCCGAGCTGATGGAAAATTTCCTATGGCGAACGACATGCGCGCGGATAACTGTTCCCTGCTTTTTTCGCTCAATCGCGTGCAGACAAGGATGGGAAAAGAAATAAAAAAGTTGAATCAAATCTGTGTCCAGTCCTCCCTCCTCGCACAGAACGGCACAGCTCGCCGGAGCGACTCCGGCGGGCGAGGGACGCGGCCACATCCAGTAGACGGGCAACGACCACCGGCGAGCTGGAGAGCATCTACTGTCGACCGGCAAGCCTACAGGCTCCAGCAGCGCCCTCCGTAGTGTTCTAAACGCTTTTATATTTCTTTACAGAGGGAATATAATTGTTCACATTATTAACCATAAACCAAATGACATTATTTCTTTATGTTTCCTATGTGTGTTCCTATCCCGTGAACCAAATGACATTTAGTTTCCTATTCCTATAGTCTGAGCATTCATAGGATTTCAGATGCATGCCACCTCATTTCCTATACTTTTCCTATTCCTATGAAATTCCTATCCTATGAACCAAAGGAGGCCTAAATGCGAACATACAGACATACCAATCAGATTAGCATGAACTCTAAAATATCGATTTAAATCTTATAGTCGAAGGGAAATACATAGTTTCACCTCGAGAAAGCTAATTCCCCAACTTCTTCTGGAAAAACGAAATCTAAAATCCCCACCCACCCTAAAGAACCAGATCCCTTTTCCGGCCCCATGAATGATGAATCCGTTGTTGGGGGGGGGGGGCATACCTTCAAAGGAACAGCCGGATAAATGGATCAGAGAACAGAAAAGGTTTGGAAGTAGCGAATATGGCTATTACTAACCGCGTCCAAAGGGGAGGAGAACCACAGGGGAGAAGTGGCGCGGGACGGCGAGGGCCTCGGAAGGGAGGGAAGGGCTTCAGGCGGGAAAAGGTGAGCAGAGATGACAGAAATGCCCTGAAGCTCGACGGGGACATTTCTCTCTTTCTCCTCGTCAGGGCCCGATTCTTAGTGGTCCTGGGCTCCTGGTAACATAGCCCATTATACTTGTGTTCTTTTTAGCTGAGAAAGTTTTTTTTGGACGAAGGGTGTATTTTGTTGGCTGACAAAGTTTGAAACTGTAGAACAGCTGTTCTTTGTTGTGTTCATTTACTAGATTTGATAGCTAGCTTTCCAGTAGAAACATCTGTTCTTTGTTGCCCATTTACTTTGGTTCCTCTCCACTATGATAAGCTTAGAAATGAGGATATCCAATGGAAATGTCTGTTTGAGCTTGTTTTTTTAAAGTTCGAAAATCATATTTTTCAAGTTTCAAAACAATTCTGAAAAGAAATACACGTGAACCTAGGGATGTGTACAACATCTCTTTAAATTTTCAGGAGGGAATGCATTTTGATGAAAGCTACAAAAATATCATGTATTTCTAGCACATGTAATATTCACTATAAAGTTCATAATTTCTTTATATACCTCACACCAAAGCATATTCCATCATGAAATTTTACAGGAATACAATATACATCTCAATCTTGATTTGTATTTTTTTTTCTCAAGAATCTTTTAGGACTTCAAACTATAATTTTTTATTCTCTTTTTTAAAAAGACGAGCTGCATGGAGCTCGAGCTCCAAAAATCCATTCTCGATATCCAACCATTGATAGATAAAATTCTCAAAAGGATACCTGGGTGGAGAGGGAAACTGCTCTCTTCCTCTGCTAGACATGCCTTGGTCAAAGCCTGTCTAGCTAGTGTTTCAGTTTACCAATTTAAGTTTCCTAAAGGGGTCTTGACTTGATCAACACTCAATTAGCTCGTGAGAAGGTGACGGAACTCTAGCCATTCGAGCCATCCACCCCTCCTACCCTCCCTCCCCGCTACCACCTGAGGATGTTGTCGGTCGTCGAGCGACCTCCAGTGAAGGTGGTGGCGAGGCTCTGTTGCCTTCCTCCATCGCAGGGAGCTTTGGGCGTCGGGGCAGCGGCCCTGGATCTGGCTAGGCGCATGGACCTCTCCGGTGGGTGGCACCACATGTGTTGGTTGCCCCTCCGTCACGCGGGTGGCGGTTGGGCGGCGGAGGGGCTATACTGCTCGGATGACTACGACAACGCTCCGGCTCCAGAGGGTGTAATGGAGGAAGCCTAAAACGGGGTAATCCCCTGGCCGACTCTGTGTCGACCTCGATGACTATGGCAGCGCTTCGGCTCCGCTTTTCCCTCCTAAAGGTGTGTTGAGCTCCCCCCTCTCCTCCCCTCAATTAGTGGGTGAAAACCTAGGCCTTTAATTTGGTCGGCCGGCGGCGGCGCACCGGCTTCATGGTCCTCCTTGGAGGCACCAGTTTGTGTTGGAGTGCTGCAGTTTGTGAGTTCGCAGGCACGGGAGGCGCGGTACGACGCGACGTCGTCCACGATAGCGACGATGTCCGCGTCGCCGTGCTCCCCCTCGTGTCGGCCTGGAGCAACTCGCCACTCCTCCACGAGCTGGCTTGGAGCGGCAACTTTCTCTGTCGGGCTAGGCGAGGGAGGTGGAGCAGCGAGCTGCCTCGCTCATGTCCAGCGGGCTCGGCGGGCCACCAAGCCGGATTTTATATATGCCAAAGACTGCACTTCTTGCTCGTCGGATGCCATTGAAAGGGTGGAGAAAAGGTGGAAGAAGGAGACGGGGAGTGGCAGAGTGGTGCAATTCTTGCCCGGCGTCTGGCCTCCTTCAAATAGCGGGCGGACAGGAGGAGCTTGCCCGACGTTGTGTGTTAATGTCGCCTACTCGTGAACAGGTGTGTGGCTGGAGTAGGTTTCTCGGCTTCTACGCGGGTTTAATGGAGGCGTTTGAATGTGGCGACGAGACGTGTTCTACCGGGCATGCAACGGGCGGCTCCCTCGGCCGGCGCGCTGCTTCAATGGCGAAGGCAGTGAGAGGACGTATCCGCCCTGAGCCGTCTTCAATGTGGAGCAGCCGCTGGCGCCGGGCAGGAACACGTGCGGGCGGGGTAGGAGAGGGTTTGAGCGGGCGAGGATGGTCAGAAGCAGGCGTGGGTGTTGTTCGGACGCCTGCAAAGCCCCCATGTCTGTCTTGGGTTTGCAGAAGAAAGTACATCCGGACCGCCCTGTAGACCGATACAACCCCACGTTGGATGACACGACATATCCGGACAGCGCGTTTTGGATGGTTGCGGATGTTTTGAGGGTCGCCGTTGGAGATGTCCTAACCGCAGTGCATGTCCGAGTGCATGCATGACCGAGTTACTAGCACATGCGTTGTTGTCCAAGAAAATAGTGCAACGCAGTTATTGAGCGGAGGTCTATCTCTCGTTTTACTACTGTCACATGAACATGCCCCCTGCCCTCCATGATGTTCGAAAGTAGGACACTCAGCTACATACGCACATACCATTGTAATAAAATAACAATAGTAGTTGAAATAAATGCCGCATGACTACAATCAGATCGACCATGCATGCTATGCTATGTATTGTACTGCTCAGCATACAATCAGATCAGAATAGCACCGGTTTCCATGGGAAAAAAAACAGAAAAGCGCCAGTTTGATTACACCACGGTGCCATTGTTTTGCATTCAATTCAAAACAGTCCAGCGTGCAAATATATGCATGCAACTCTTTCAATGTACTTTGTGAAATGGGAGTGCACGCATGCATGTTTTCTGTTTAACTTTCAAGAAGAAGTTGTTTTACGTTGCCCTTTGAGGTGTGCTGATGGAGCCGGTATATTCCTCTATATATAACCGTCGTGGCACTAGCTTCAACCAGTCAGATAGCCCAAAAACAAAGAGGCTGTTTGGATTGCGTCAGGGTTCGCCTCGCCAACCACGGACAGGCCAATTTATTGGCGGCCGATTCCGCCACCCGCTTCTCGCGAACAAATTGGCGCTGGATTGAACTAGCGCGGCAGGGGGCAGGCCAGGCCGCACCAATTATTTGAAAGCCATCCAAACATGTTCGCTATGCATGGTCAACGCCAATATCTTGGATGGGCATCTCAGGCGTCGATCCAAACAGCCCTAAAGACACGGAAATTTGTCGGGGGCACACACAAGACACGGATATTTGCAGGGGCACACACATATGAAGTCATCTGCAACCATCCATGTGCACCAAGATGCGGAAACTTGTTAGCTCCTTGTGAATTCGACTCTTCATACTTACCACTTCCATCTTTGAAAAGTGTTACGATAATTTCTTACACTTAGGGATTATCATGGTGCAATTCTAATGCATTTTCTCTCTTAAATGCAAGATATACGAAGAGATGGGAATTACCAACAACTGGAAATTCTACATCTAAGAGCAACAGAAGAGAAATCAATTCTTCGGATGAGGGGATTTTTGGAGAATTATTTTAAAATATATAATGAATTTTGGAGAAAATAAATACCAGAGGGAACCCACCTGGTCTCCACACGGCCATGTGGCACGACCACCCCCTAGGCGCGCCATCTACCTGTGTGGGGGCCTTGGTGACTTGTCTCCCGATGTCTTTTGGCTATAAAATCCTATTTGCACTAGAAAAAATCACAGAAAATTATCAGGACTTTTCGCAGCCATCTGTGAGGCAAAACTTGGGCGGAACACTTTACTCTCCAGCGGAGCGATTCTGTCGGAGAAACTTTCCTCTAGGGGGAGAAAATCGAAGTCTTCATCATCACCACACTCTGT